GCCAATGCTGGCCAGCCTCTGCTTCAAGATATGATGATCGACGGTATTGAAAGCTTTGGAAAGATCAATAAACAGAGCTGCACAACTCTGCTTTTTGTCTAAGATAAGCAATATCATTAACCACTTTCATTGTCGCAGTGATGGTACTATGTTGCTTTCTGAAACCTGACTGATGTTTACATAGGATGTCATTTTTACATAAAAACTCCTTTACCTGTTCACTCACTAGGCTTTCAAGAACCTTGGCCAGAACTGATCATTTAGAGATGAGCCTATAATTATTTAATAAAGTAGCCTCCCCACTTTTTACTAGAGGAAGGACATAAGCTGACTTCCATATTTGGAATTGTGTTCATGCTGAGGGAGAGGTTAAAAAGAGAAGTAAGAGGTGCATGGTGCAATAAAATCTGCAGCTATCTATAAGAAGAAAGGTTCTACGTTGTCTGGACCAGCCGTTTTTTTAGGATCTAACTTCGTTAACGCTTCATGAACGACTTTAATCGAAAAATGAGAAAAACTGAAAGGGTTTTCCAAACCACGTTTTTCAGAGTCACAGACTGTGGTGTTCACAGTAGCAGAGTTAAATCAAACAGAGAGCCACAGGACACAAAATGCACATTAAAACAATTTAATATATATTGGCCCTGTCCGATATAGTGCCAGATGCTGTGGTAAGGCACGGATGTAGCTCATTACGGATTTCACCGGTGGATAACGATTTTATGGCTTTCCAAAATGTTCTAGGATTATTCAGGTTCTTTGTGGTAACTGACAGATAATACTTAGGCTTAGCACTTTTGATTTGTGATATGAAGCTATTTCTTAGCTGCCTAAAACGCAGCCATTCTACCTCTGAGCCTGATTGCCTAGCCTTTGCCCAGGCCTTGTTTCTCTCATGTAGGAGACTAGACAATTCAGCAGAAAACCAAGGATTGTCTCGTCCCTTCACTCTAAATGTACGCAGGGGTGCATGTCTATCAATAATTTCCATAAAACCAAGATAAAAATAAGACCATGCAGTTTCAACATCATCACACAGATCGATTTGTCCCCAATCAAAACTAAACAGATCATGTACAAAACCCTGCTCCACAAAATGTTTTGTGTCTCTCTTAATGATAATGCGAGGTTTACCCTTTTGGACCTTTGTGTCCCTAATTGTTGCTACAACACAGTGATCACTCAAATCATTAGCAAATACTCCCACAGATGAGTATTTATAGGGAACATTAGTTAAAATGAGATCAATTAAGGAGGATTTATTTGGGGACTTAATGTTAGGGCGAGTAGGGCTGTCTATAATCTGAGTAACATTTAAAGAGATACAAAGGTTTTTAAAATCCTCTGACACTGTAGTTTACCAGTCCCAGTCAGCACTATTTCCTTGTAGTCAAGTTGAGATAAAAGTGTTGCCAATGAAGACAAGGAGTCCTTGACAGCTGAGGGGGGTCTGAAACAGCCCACCACCATGACCTGTTGACCCTTTGCCACTTCGATATTTAAGGCTAAAAATTCTAGTTTACTAATTGATTTGGAAACCAATGTGGTTACACTAAACTTATTCTTCACATAAATGGCAACGCCATCACCTTTATTAAGTCGGTCGGTACGATATACACTGTAACTATTTAAGGATATGTCAGAGACCAAAATAGATTTATTTAGCCACCTCTCTGATAAAACAATGACATCGGCGTCAGTCGAGCTTGCCAAAATGCGGACAAAATCTAGTTTAGGTAAAAGACTGCGCACATTTAAGTGGATGAATCCCAACCCAGACCTAGATTTAAAATCAGCAGGAGTAGCGATCTGACTACTACTACTACTACTACTACTACTGGGCGGACCAGGGTTAGGTTGTACATTTCCTGATAGCAATAATAACAAGAAAACCAAGTCCAATAACTCCTTCACAACTACATTAGCCTATCAAGCCTTTCCAAGACCTAACACAGAAATGAGGCCATTATATATCGTAGCTTTAATTGAAGAGTAGACCCTCAGTGAGTATTTTAGGCTATAATTGTCAAGGTAAACATTATTTACATATGACACTGTTTGCTAGGACTGTGTTCAAGGGCTGTGGATTCTAGTGACTCTTTCAGCAATCACTCGGATGTTTAGTTTAGGGTTTTGTTCTGTATTGTTTAAAGCAGCGCAGTGTTTGGATTATCTTCCCAGTCGTTCACCTCGTCTGTCTGTTTGTTTCCTCTATAAGAAGGAGTTCAGGAAAGGGTCCATCAGCAGCTTTTCCCTGCTCCTCCCATCCACCACCCCTCTACCCTGTACTTCCACTCCAGGCAAATGTAGCCGCAGCGGCCCCCTCTGTCGCTTTTCAAGTGGTTTACACAGTCCTGTGCTGCTGTAATTATGTTATCCTCCACTGTGGGGTGTGGCTGAGTACAGAAATACAGCTGCTTATTTTCCTGACCACTTTTTCTTCAGCCTCACATCACCTCTCCTCCTTGACATGTGGTTCTTCCTGGGTGTGCACGGCTTTCCAAGGTTTCCAAGACTAATGGTGAAACTTGTCTTTAATAACAAGGCACGAAGGGCCACCCGTTTGACATGTTAGTCTTTCTTTTTTCTGTCAAAGAGAAGGGATGGGAAACATAAATAGGTTCACGGGACAGTACTGGGAATCACTTGGAGGACATTCAAAGGAAAACTTGCACAAGTACATAATCATAAACTACACAAACAAATCAAGTTTGCCCTACTGTATACAGAAGACTCATACTGTAAAGCATAATTTAGAGCAGAAACATTTTGTTATGATATGTTTTAGAAATATATAAATGAACAGCTACATTCGAACAGCAAACCTTACAAGTAATTTTACTAGTAGTAAAGTCTGAAGTAGCTTTACATTAAAGTAGTTTGGTTTCATTTTGGTTTGGTTACTGAAGTGTAACACATATTCTAATGTATAAAATTATGTAAAAAAAAGTACATTTACTAAAAATAACCATTTTGGGGTAGCCTACTTGTAGGGCTATGCTACTTTCTTTCTACTTCTCCACTACATTTAAGATTCAAATATTCTACTTTTTACTTTACAAAATGTGTCTGATAACTTTAGTAACTGCCAGATTCCCAATATCAACACACAATATAATCAACAAATAAATCATAATATACAGTAATACTCGTAAATTAGCCTCAGGGTCACTAGCTTCAACAACTACACAAACAAATCTCCTTTGACTGTAACGGAGGTGGTCTGAGTATGTGTCGTTTGTATAGATATTTATTTTTTGCACTGCATATTAGGTTGAGCACACAGCAAGGCCCTTTAACTTGTTTTACACTGAAAAATAATGGCCCTAATATAATAATTAGACAAGCAAGTGTTGCATTTAAAAAACATTATTGTGAGGTATGTCTTCAGGCGATCTAAACTCGTGTGGATAGATGCCAGGTGTTGGGATCGGACGCGCCATCTGTACAACATAATTATATGGTAGGCCTACGTGATTAGTGCCAATTTCTTTTTGTGGCTCAATCTAGGCATTGATAAACAACATAGGTGTTTTCAATGGAGTTGGGTCCGTTTTTGTAATGATGTAGATGTATTGAACAGTGTATCATGTTCCAAACACTTACCTGTACTCTCCTAGCTGTCTCAAAACTCGGGTGTGCGATTAAAAGAGTCCCCGAGAATTCAACACCTCCTTATGGTTCCGGGAGGGCTACACCAAGTGAGTAGGGGGTGGTGAATATGTTAAATATATGTTTGGTAAATAAACAGCTTAATAGTGTATGTTTTGTGATGTCATGTCCGTTATGTTTGACTTTTTTTTCGGTAATTAATGTAAAACGGGTCTCACAGACTGTAAATGCCTCACTGTAGCACCCCTGTGTTTTTGGTAGCGCCTAAGGGTGGGCTGTATAAAATGCTGCTTTTTGTACCGGCAGCAGGGCTTGCTGCATAAGATGACTTGTACATTTAGGTGAATGGTTGTTAATAACACATTTGGGGTTTACTGTTTATCCTGCATCATTACTTATGGTCTGGACTGCTCCCAATGTCAGTCTAAGAGGGACATTCTGCAAACTGAGTACTCTTACTTTTGATACTTTAAGAAAACCCTATATTGCTGCTAATACTTTGGTACTTCTACGCAATTGTTATGAGTTTCACAGGCTGTTGGCAGTCAATAAAATCTCATCCAAGCTCTTAGTCTTAACCAATGATTTTCACCAGGATCCATCAATACATTACCGTTTCAATTACAAAACAAATGTCATTTTCAATACCCCCATGAATTTGTAATGCAAGTATCTTATAACTGAATTAATGAAGTAATTCATTTGTATTTTTACCAAAATATTTGAAGAGAAAATAATTTCCGTTATTATTGCTTTTTCTATTTAATAAACATATTATTATCGAAATTCTGGTGTTTTTTATTGGAAAGTTTTTATTTATTTCAATAAATGTCATGTGAGCTTGTGACTCCAAACAAAGGCAGCTTGTATTACAACTCTAGGGGTTATGACACACCTCTTATTATTGGATTTTAGTGCTTATTTTTTATAAATATTATATGAAATCAAATTTTCGGGGCGGGTCTCATTTCACTTCATACACATGGTTTGTGACCCATTGACTCCAAATCCATACCTGATAATAAAACAACACTGGACAAGTAGGAAACACCTTTTTTAAATTAGATTTCAGTGCTTAGCCTTTTTCAATATTGAACATGTTGTGAAAATTCATATTCTGCATTGATTTGGAGTCACTGGGTAACATAATGTACATAACAATACAATATAATATAAAAAACTGATGAAAAAAAACACACAGTAAACACTAACTTGACTGGGGTGGTGAACCTGTGTCTGGAAGCTTCAGACACAGGCAGTGATTTACTTTAACAGCCTGTTAAACTCACTGCTTCCACCTAGTGGTGACTATATGGTATTGTTGCATCAGTGAGGAGGAGGAAACCAAAATATTTAATTCCATTGCACCTGACAAACCACATCGAGATTATCTTTGTGTCTACTCTGCAGCATCTGGAACATACAGTACACCTGTCACGCAGTCACTCAGTCAGTCAGTCGGTATGTTTGTTTGTTGACCGCACTGTTGAACCTGAGAAAAAAAGGTGGTGGCGATAAATACAAATGCAGTGACACCAGCAACAGGTAGAGTCGCTTTTACATTCCTTAGCTAGGAGGAATACAACAACACGTTTGTTCATAGAGGAAGTACGGAAGTAGACGACTGCCTGTTCAAGAGCACTCATGTAACGTTATAGTTGAGCATATCGGTGAGCTCACAGAAAGCCTCCGGGATCATTGAATGGGCACTGGAGATTTTTTTTGAATCCGGAAAGTCGCATCTGCATTCAGAGACTAGTCATCATGCGCGGCCACAGGAGGCAGGTAGGTGATCCCATTCACATACACTAACATTATATCGATACATTATAGAGCTGTTCTGAATCCAGATTCTTCTTCAAGCTTCATGTTTAACATAGGCCTGATGTTTACCCAAACCTGCACTTGTCAGACTGAATACAACAGAGGCTCAATCCAGTGCTGTATAAGAGCCACCCTTAAGAATATATAATATGAATTAGCAGTGTATGTTCTTCCATTAGTATCATACTTTTCAGATTGTATTTATATTTATGCCACACCTTCACTGTACGTGTAAGTGAATAGCATGGATAGGCATGAAGGTTAGAGTATGACAACATGCCATGCTCTTTGTTCAATTATGTGATATTAACCCTCTACTCTGTCAGTACACTATAGTGAGTCAGGATCACCACAGTGGCATTCACTGACACATCTCTATGTCATAGTTAAACTGGATTCTTTTGGAATGATGACTTCTGAAATGATCACACTTAATCATCTCGTAATAGAATCATTATGTGTCAATCATTAGAGCTGTAAGCATTAGTCGACCGAAAAATAATGGTCAAAACAAGACATTTAAAGACACATTTCCCTGTTGTGGGACTACTAAGGTTTTATCTTATGTTATCACCTTGGATTTTGAGTCATTGGGAGGGACATTTTTCACTTTTATCATACATGTTATAGACCTTCAAGAAAAAAAAGTTGCTATATAATAAAACACAATCCTCAGTTGTAGCCCTGTCACTCATGTCTTATATAACATTTACAAGAACAATTAGTTTTTATTCATGATGTGTGGAATTTCATATTTGTATCTCTTTGTATTATTTTTCAATTTTTTGTTATACAGCCCAGTATTGATCTACTGGAATTAATGGGTGTGGTGAAAGAGAATGGCAATGATCAGCCGTCAATCCCTCCTGTGGTAAGAAATGATTGTGTCCACTTTAAAAACATACAAACTACTGTAGTACTGGCCACCTTAATTCACAGATTAAGATCGATCCCTATAATGTCAGAAAGTCTGACTTTCCATATTATTTTTGTCACACAGCAAACGCCTCTATCATACGATTACGTCCTGGTTGCCAAAACAAATGATCACCAGGACAGGAAGCAAATTGAATACATTGAGGAACTGAAAAAAAAAAAATTAAAAGTGACCGTAAGTCTTTTGAAATAAACAAAAACGTTGAATGAAATGAAAAGTTACACAACTCTTTAATTTGTTTTGTCTTTATTCGTTAGAAAATTATAGATGATGATCTCGTCTTCTATGGGATCCAAGCGCCTAAAGAAATGTTCGAGAGGTACAGATATCTGCTCAAAGTGTCTGATGCTTGTAACTGGAGCTCGGATCAGAACATTGTACCACTAAGCACCAGGTAAAACAATTTGTATTTTTAAACAATCACAGATGCTATTTGAACTATCTGTCACAGTTTACCCGCTACATAACACAATATTCCTTTTCAAAATTTGGACATGAATGAATGTGATATTCTGAATACCCTCTAAGCCCTGCTTCTCTTAACCATTACTAAGAATCAAAATGTCAAATACTTAATTGAATTAAATTAATTAAGATTTGTTGTTGCAAATCAGCCTCATAAGCAATACTTATCTTTGTTTCAGGATAAGGATTGTCCACTTCATCTTGAATCACACCCCTATACGTTCAGGAGGTGAGAACAGTAGCTTGATTTCCAATCCTCTTAGAGTACCTGGCACCTAATCTTGTTGTTCATGTTATTCTTGTCACCTGTTATTCTCCTCAGAGAGTTTGCGGAATCTTATGAAGATGAAGGTTTTTGAAGCAAAGTTCTGCTTGCACGAGGTAAAAAAAGAATCCATTCCATTTAAACCTTGTTGTTGTTCAGCATCTATGATGTATCACTATGGTTGCAATATTGTCACCATAACTGGCTTGATGAATGAATTATTACGAAGTCTTGGACAAGAACTGCAGATAAAACCGATTGTATAAATAAAGAAGTTGAATAAATCTTGAAACCCAGTATCTTTTCTCCGTCATCCACACACGATTAACATCTTTTATTTAGCTCCTCATTCTTAAGATAGTGAAACTATTATCTTCTGATAAATCTTTCCTCTTCATGTGACCACTAAAGTGTTATGCTTATATTAAAAAGCATCAGTAATTATGACATGAAACTTGGCAGTGTCCTTCCAAAACAATACTATGCTGCCAAACAACAATTTTTCACAGAGAAGCTAAGGGAGTCATATTATTGCAGTGAGTCATTCAATGCTGGGGCTATGTGGGAAAATGTGTGAACATACATTGACACATTTGCACATGTAAGCATGTACAAATGTGTCCTTGTGTGCTTTGCAACACCGTGGGAGGAGAAGAAGTTTCTACCAAATGTAATATCTAGGAGATTAAATGTAAATATATTTTGCCTTAAAATACAATGCCCATACATAATATGTAGCAGCATCAATTGTGTATTTGTTTTCATTGTAAGCTCAAGTTTTACTGTATGTTGTGTTTTTTTAAACATGTACAAAGCTCTTCCTTATGTTTTTGATTTTTCTTTTTACTCTTGCTTTCAGAAAAAGAAGCAGAGAGAGCTGAAAGAGAACTGGGCTCGATGGACAGCCTGTCTCCAAGGGCAACCCATCACTGCTGTCAGGTTTGGACTGCAACACAACAGCCTGTTCATAATCCTGTTTTTCTTTTCCTTTTTTCTTCAGTTGTGGTTATTCAATTTCACCTCACTGTGAAGTGGGTTCGGCTTTTAGAAAGACAACAGCATGCATGTCGACCCCCACGCATGATGCAGGAATTGTTTGGAAGCTTTGTTCGAAAATCATGCTCAGTAATTACTGCTGTTGCCTTTAGTTTCAGTTGTTTACTTAGTCCAAACACAATGCAAACATACATCAAGTCTCCAATTTCATGTAGAAAGTTGATTGGATATGTGTAAGCTTTATGTAAATATGTAAGCTGTGATATTACTGCACTCAGATTTCAGAAACCATAAAGACAAGATGTGCTGAACATCATCACTCGACCTTTAGGCAAAATCATACAAGTACTTGTTGTTTTCGAACAATAATCTTCCTCTTTTAAAAACCAGGAGGCTGAAGTAAAATGAAAAGATAATTCATGTTGTAAAGTGTAACATTATATTATCATTGATAAAATATAACATTATAAACTGTACATACAAAAGAAAATGTACATTTCTTAAAAAATGGCAACATTGTGGGGAGGTACACACAAACTACTACCATATATTATTCTTCTGATTGGTTTTGACGACTAAATGAAACTATGGATACTGTCTTTCAGTGCACGATCCTTTTTGGAATTAATTATGACTTGGCAGAACAGCACAGAAACTATCTCAACAAATTCATTAGTGTCTCACTAACATTTAAAGAGCAGCAGCACTTAAACAGATAACAAAAACTGGCTAAAACCAGAGGAGACAAACTACGCCAACAGAAGGACATATTTCATGCAGCTATACAAATGAAGGTCTAGCTGAACTAATGTTAGATAGAAGAGGATACAGAAAACAAATAGTATACAAAAACAAAAATCTGTATAATATAACATGCAGAGTTATACAGTAGCTAGCTATTATACAAAATGTTGACACCCTTTTTCTTCTTTTATGAGATTTTTCTACTGTAAGGGAGCACAATTCATCAAATGTGTTTCATATACTTTCTGTATAATTTGTTAATATTGATTTAGTACCACATTGTGTTTTTAAATGTATGTCTTAAACAGCAAGAAATGTAAAGAAACAAAAATGCAAGGCTTTATCTTAAATGTAAGACAGCTACTGTTTTCTTTTTTGCTATTTAAATCTCCCAGGCTCCTCCAACTATACAATTCAATAAACTTAAGACATACATTGCAATAGATACAATGGTGCAAGTGAAATACAGGAATAAGAAAAAATATGTGCATACAAAAAAGAATGTAAAATACATATGTAATTATGATTATCCCGTGATGGACATATTATACACATTGTGTATGATATTAACATTCTTTGTCATTTTCTCCGTGTGTGTGTGTGTGTGTGTGTGTGTGTGTGTGTGTGTGTGTGTGTGTGTGTGTGTGTTTTCATGTCAGGAACTACTTTGGGGAGAAGGTGGCCTTGTACTACCTGTGGCTGGGCTGGTACACTTTTCTGCTGATCCCGCCTGCTCTCATCGGGGTCATCGTCTTCCTTTATGGCCTCGCCTTCTTTAACAGCTCACCCCTCATGTAAGTTTCTCCACAATGCCACAGTGTCACAGCAGACTATTTCAGATGTAACAAATGAAGATAAGATAAGATAGAGCTTTATTGTCTACCTTAGGAGAAATTGGTCTTGGGCATCGAGATAATAAACATAAAACATTCAGGTCAATCAGTCATAGATACAGAACAGAGATCACATATACATGGCAAAGAAACAAACAAGAAGCATACAGGTACAGCACTTTCCCTATTGCACATATCGCTATTGCACATACATAATCAAATTGCACTTTCCCTATTGCATTCATACATAATCAAATATTGCACTTTCCCTATTGCACTATGCATAGTGTCCGTCAAATTGCACATATCCCTATTGTGTCCATACCTATTTACACATAATGCACTTTCCCTATTTAACCTTCTCGATTGCACATACTACACTGTAAACATTTCACCTCCCAACAACTCCTTACACAGCATAATCACAATTGTTCAGCCTGACTTGATTGACAGTGGAACAAAGGAAAACTTATACCTGTTCAATTTACAAATGAAGCGCTTGCTGTGTTGCAGAAAGGAGGTTTGTGAGGCTGACACAGTCATGTGTCCACTTTGTGACAAGAGATGCAAAGTGTGGCAGCTCTCCGACACCTGCACATACGCCAAGGTACATCAGTGCTTTTCATTAGACAGATGAGTGTTGTATTTGTCTGTTTGTGCTCACTGCTGGTCTGTCTGCCTACAGGTGAGCCTGCTGTTTGATAATAATGGCACAGTGCTCTTTGCAATGTTCATGGCAGTGTGGGGTGAGTTATTCAGTATGAAATAGTTATTCTTGTGATGAGGGAAATTGTCACATGTTTTTTGATGATGAGATCCCTGTTAAAGATAGATTAGAGTGAAGGCAGTATTAGACAGACACATAAAACAGAACTGTTCTCCCATTCTGTCATTTATTACTTAAACATGTTTGGCATTACTGTATTACATGTACAAGTTGGTCTGTTTTATATTTGGTATATCTAACTGTCTGAAAGCTTTAAGTTCACGGAGATATATACTGCCAACAAGATGCCCCAGAGAAAACCTACCGGCCCTGGCTTCTCACGTCTTAATCAGCCCAGGCCATCTGGCCGTGGGGGTGGTCAGGGGGTGGTCTATAAGAACATTTAAAAGCTCTTTCACTGAGTTTTTCAGTTCTTTTGCTTTTAGTTTCTCTGTGTTTTAGTGGGGTTTTAAAAATATGCTGTCTGTTATCAGACCTCTTCTAAAATGCATAATATGTAATAGAAAATAAGAATCCAGACAAAGTGACAGTGACATTATGGATTTGAAGTGAAGTTTATTAGAAGGGTATGATTAACTAGAACAAACACTAAAGTGACTTTTATGAGAGGACTTGTGTAAGGTAGGGTTAAGATAAAATCAGAGTAGTGCATAAATGGGCAGACAGAAATACATTAGAATTTTGAATTATGGTCTAAAATAGGGCTGGAGCTCAGATGATGCAATTTCCCGCCAAGTATTTCAGACCGCAAAAATCTGGATTGGTCCCAAATTGGCTTGCTGCTTTCTTGTTTTTTGAATAAGCCCTGTGTCAAATGCTATAACCAAAAGCAAATCAGTAATGTTAAGCCTTGAATGAAGGCATGTAGAAACTTTCATGCATTCATAAAAAGGTGAATGCAAAACTGTTACCAAATATCCCAAAAGTTGGAACAGGCATAACCCAGATACAAAAACTCTCCGTGTGCATTTCTCATGATGTAGTTCCTGTTGGCTTCATGATCTCATAACAATCCTTGATCTTTACAGCAACATTGTTTTTGGAGTTCTGGAAGAGACATCGAGCTTCCTATGTGTGTGAATGGAAAGTGTCAGATTGGTGTGAGGAGGAGGTATGATCACTTCACATGTTACATCCCATTTCAGTAATACCTGTTCAGTGCTCATTGGAATTATAACTGTGTATATTATTTTATTATATTTAACTGTAGGAGGAACTGATTCTGGAAATTGTGAACAATGCCAACTGTGAACCAAAACAATATAAGCACTCCTATCTGCGCAGCACTCTGGTTCTGATCTGTGTCACAGTAATGGTGGGTGACTTGTCATTTTTACAATTTGTTATATATGTTCTTCAAATGCTTCGTCATCTTTGGATCCCAGGTTAAAATAGGATTCAGTAAGGAGTAGGTTCAGTTTTTTGGTATTTAAGTGGGAATTCTTAATTATTCAGTCCTGGTTCATTTAGTAATGTCAATGAAAAGAATGGGATACTGCACTCAGGACTCAGGAGTGTCTTCGATGATATATGTGCGTCAGAATTGTGTGCAAGGTTTGCAATACACTATTTTTTCCAGAGAATGTCGCCACGGACACTGAATTTGTAATAATGCAAATATATCAATGTTGCAATATTTTCAGTGGGCCATAGGCTCAATCTCCATTGTGTTATCTCTTTTGGGGAAACATAGTGGCATATCAGACATGCATTTAAATTAAAAGCCTTTTGACTTGCTAATTTAAAAGTAGTTGAGGGTACTTGTTTGGATGCCCTCCAAAATATAGTGAAACAAATTAGTGTTTTTTGTGTTCCCTCAGATATTAGTGATCATTGGCCTGACACATGCCTTGGTGGTGTTCAGGGTGATCGCAGCGGTGCTCCTGGCTGAAGGATCATGGGAGTTCCTGAGCAACCACTCCAACAGCGGAGCAATGATGCTGGGGGCCGTCCTGCATTACCTCATCATCACCGTCATGACACGGGTGCGCAGGTCTCTAACTGTGTCTCTGTTTGACTTTTACTTATATTCTCTGTGGCTCTGACAATATTTATATATTTGCAGATCAACCGGATTGTTGCCATGAAGCTCTGTGAAATAGGTATGTTAACTGTACCGAATTAATTTTCCTTATACTACATTCCAAAGAGACGCTGATACACTAATATGACAAAGTTGAATGTTTGCGTTAAAAGTTTTTTTTTTTTATAAAATGATTTGATAATATAATGTGTTTCAGTAATTGAACATTTAAATGAGCAGTTATTTTAATGCAGGTGTCAGTGTATTGGGCAGTGAGAACTGGCCAACACATTTAGGAGGGCTGATGCTGCCAAGCATGTTATCGGACAGGAAGCAGGAGAGACACACTGATAACACACTGATAAGTAGTAATGCCTTGAACAACACAACACCTTTGCAACATAGATCATGTGGCCCAGATCCAATGTCCACACATAGACCTTTCTGCATGTTTTTTTCAGGGCTTAAGGCTGAGACTTTGGAAGGGCTTGAGGGCTTTGATGTTATTTATTGTTTACCCCGTTCTGCACACTTTCTCCCAATTTATTTTTTTCTTTATTCCCAAAACTCATTATATAGACGACTTTACATTTACAGAAAGCACAGTGTTACCTGAAGGCATTATACATCAGCATACATCAGCTCTATATTGGGCATTGGAACTGGGCCACCATGTACACTAATCAGGGCAAATAAACAGGAGTTTTAAAAACGTGTGATAGATCAGGTGATATTCAGAAATCGGAAACTCACTGAGAATAATTGAACTGAGGTGGAAGAGGAAGATAAGCATGAATTAACTTTTATCGAGGGTCTTTGTGTTTAAATCTAGTCTATTGGCCCTGTCATGTAGAGCCCCCAAAGAGTCTTGTTCGAAAACTAAAGGTTACCAAGATAAACCAAATTGGCTAAAACATCTCACGTTTGCTTTTGTAGGGAGCCAGTCGTGTTCAGATGGGTTTCTAAAAGCTTCCTGTAGAAATGGAAGTTTAAAAATAACAATATCTGAAGATTTGAACATTACAAATTAAATTGTAATATTGCTGAATATGCATCAACATAACATTATTTTTGAATAATACAATTTATATTAAGGCAAACTATATAATAGATGCAAAATGATATTCTCGTTTGTGAGATTGTGCCATCCATTGGCCATCTTTTGAACTGCATGGACACTGACATGAGTTTGTTTGTATTTTTAGAGGAAACAAGATCATTTGCAGCCACAGAGAAGAGTTTCACCGTCAAGATGTTCACCTTCCAGTTCTTCACCTATTTCTCCTCCCTGTTCTACGTCGCTTTTTTTCTCGGCAGGTAAGAACTAGTGAATTGAATTAGGCCTGTACAATAATTGAGTATTCACATTTTGGAACTTTTGATGTTACCCTTAAGGACCCCTGAATATTGTCCTTTTGAAAGAAACTCATATCTATATATATTTATAACAATAATGTGTTTTTGTTACACACACAAAAGGATAAATGGCCATCCTGGTAGTTATGTGCGAATTTCAGGAAAATGGAGGCTCGAGGAGGTTAGTATCAAAACTCTTTATCCCATTCAGAAAAACATGATTTTTAAGTAATAGTTGATATTTAACATTTGAATGTTGTTCATTATTGTTGTCCTATCACTTCTTCTCTCCTGTGCAGTGTCATCCCAGTGGATGTCTAACAGATCTGTTTATCCAAATGGCTATTATAATGGTCCTTAAACAAACCATCAGCAATGTCTTTGAGTTCACTGGCCCGTAAGTATAAATCTGATTTTAGATTATTTACTGTATAAAACTGTATTATTCACCCTTCTCAACTAGCTGTGTCTCTGTTCAGCTGGTTCTGCAGGTGGTTTAAGAAAAGGAGAACCAAGAAGCTGCAGAGGAAATGTGCCCACTGCTACCTGAAGGATGATTCAGAGGTCAACCATGGAGCGGAGCTGTGTGAAAACTGCAAGCTTCGAGACTGGCTCAGCAACTACCGCCTCAACGACGTGGACTCCTTCAGCCTGTTCCATGAGTTCCTGGAGATGGGTATATACTGTAGTATGCATACAATTTTAACAACCAAAAAAACAGGACCCATTGGACAAATGCTAGACTGGTTTTCGTTGATGATATTCTTCTCTGCCTTTCCTTAGTGATCCAGTTCAGCTTTACCACCATATTTGTGGCAGCGTTTCCTCTCGCCCCTCTGCTCGCCCTCATTAACAACATCATTGAGATCCGCCTGGACGCCATTAAAATGGTCACTCTGGAGCGCAGGCTGGTCCCCAAGAAAACCAACGATATTGGTGAGCAGCACTTTCAAACTGGAAGTGTAAATGTTGTAGGCGTGTTAGGTGTTTTGTAGGTTGTAAACATTGTTTCAACTTTAGATGTGCTAGAAAGATCATTTTAAAATGCTTTCTGTTCAGTGTCCGTGGCTCTTAAGCTTCGCATAGCTTATCGGGGTGTCCCATTTCACACTTGTCTTATTATTTGTACTTATTTGTGAATAAAATGAATTCAATCGAAATATAATAGATTACATTTTCATCACATCAACTTTTTCTTCCCTCAGGTGTGTGGATAGACGTGTTGGAGGCTATTGGTGTCTTAGCGGTCATTGCTAACGGGCTAGTCATCGGCGTGTCATCAGATTTCATCCCTCGATTGGTTTATCGTTACCGCTACGGCCCATGTGCTAACGGCACAGAAGCAGATATTGAGTAAGAGTACTTCCAGAAAAAAATGTATTCTGTCAACTCATGCGACACACTTTAAATATATTCTCTCTATATTCGTTTTTTTCCAGCTGCATGTCCGGATACATCAACAACACTCTCTCCGTTGCACATTTAGATGATCTAAACTTACGCAATGAGTTTTCGGCCAGTCAGATGATCACTAATAGTGGCCTGAATGTAACTTCTTGCAGGTTTGTTATTCTTATATCTTTGTTGTTCTTATATAAAATCTCCCTTTTTCTTTGGATATAAAAGCCTGCTTTTCTTGTCTACTTCTCTCAACCAGTTATAAAGACTACAGGAGCAATGAGGACTACAATCTAACCCCACAGTTTTGGTTAATTTTAGCTGTGCGTTTCGCTTTTGTCATCCTGTTTGAGGTGAGATTTAACCATAACCAAAAACCCTAACCTCATCTTCCTACTTTGATTTCTTTGAGCAGTTTTTCTGTACAGTAGAAGCAACCAATAGAATACACACAAAGTCATCCCAGCACACTGTGAATTTATTTTGATTGACAGTAAAGATCTAGGCCAGGGCTGCCCAAAGTGGTCCCTTGGAGAGGCAGAGACAGTGACAGACAAAAAGGGAACTTGGCATTCTTGTACCACTTTGCATCATAATGATACAAAACAATACAAAAGGTGGTTGCTTTTGGCTCGTGGCCCATTATAAAGTCTCAGCTTTGACACTCGAAGAAAAACATCTTAAGGAAACCATTATCTAGGCAATAACTAAATCCAGGTGTATTATCTTTAATGAAACCACATATTCATTGAGCGGAAAGAAGATAACATTCCTAAAAACGTAATCTCTGTTTTCAGCACGTTGTCGTCATATGCAAGTTCATTGCAGCATGGTTTGTGCCGAGTGCTCCCTTGCAGGTGAAGAATGAACGACTCTTTGATAAACTCAACAGACTGAAAGAGGAACTCAGGTGAGTCTTAAGCAATGTGAAGTTACACTGTAAAAAAATAGATATAAAGAATATTACATGAGCCTTTTAGGATTTTGTTTAAATATTCTCAACCTTTTTCTGTGGTGCCCTACCTACGCATTCACCAATCATAAACTTGATCCCTATTTGAGATGATACTGATCTTATTACGCTGGTTGGGTTGTTCCATGACGTAACACATCATAACCAGTTTTAACACACAAGAGACACAAGTTGCTCCCGCTTCATTTGCAATAATCGCAGGAGAAGAAAAAGGCTTTTTTGTATTTTGAATTTGCCTTTTGTGTATTGTGGATTAGCATCTCCACTGTACTTATTAAGCTGAAAAAAGTCTATCTATTTATGTAGCTAAAATGAATCAGATTAAATCAATCAGGCTCACAAATGTTTTTCATGTTTTTCAACAGACATTCCAACTTGTGGGAACCTGTGCATTAAAACATTTCTACCTGACACTTGAAACTTTTACCACCACATAAGCACTTGCATGTAACAGTGTTACGTCATACTAAAAATAAATTGAGTGCAGTGCGATAGATATTCTTACAGCCAGCATTACTCTACATTAATGCGTCATAAGAGGTATACATTGACATATAATATTCCACTCAAATGTAATGGTTTATAATTTAACTGAACCCTAATATCCCAAATGATTACTTTAGTTATTTTGTAACTCTAATAATGTGTGCATTATATACTACTATTAGACATTTTTAAAGATTTGCTTTCCAGTGTTGTGACCACAATTATTTTGTGCTGCTGCAACTCACCAACCCTTGTTTTATTTCTCACAGTTCATTTCAAGCTCGACTTCGTTCAGACCACCCTTAAAGGTTACACATTTTCTCTGAGGACATGAGCACAGTGTTGCAATTAAAGTGTCCAGGCTGTCACAGAATTGAGTCAGCGCCGAAGGCATTAATCATCTCTCTGAAGAGTTCAGAATGTTAAGTGCTGCCTATCTGGATCCTCATCTCTGAAATGGATTTTGAAGACAGACTCATTTTTCTTGGATCAAACCATTGGACAGTGTATGATGATGAGATTGTTCTTATTGGATTGTATGAATGCACTGATAGCTTGCTGTTGGATCTCTTTATTTGTGAGACGCATGTGAGTGTTTTTAGGAAAAGCCTAATAATAATTTATATTGCTACGGCACATAAAGTACCGATTATGTGTTACATTGTTGCCTTATATTTTAAACAAGCGATGTGATGATTGCCTTTACTGCAGACAAATAATGGTGGTGTCTTTTGTGAAGCAGACACAAGAATGTTTTTGCATTATAATATTTTATATTATTGAATAAAAGAGGAAACCTTTGGCCTCATATTCTGTAATGTCTATCTATTTTTCAGCAAGATTCAAGTGTAAATACAGTATTATTTCCGTGATAGTTACAATCATGACAGGGTTGTCTTTGTGTCACGCCAAGGTTTCTTTTAAGGGCGGATAGTAAGCCTTAGTTTCAATATCACACGATACAACCACCAACTAAAAATGCAGTTTGACCATCAAATACATGGATCAATTGTGAAAATGTTTTAGTTTATCACCTTACGACTACTATAAAATCTCACAAGTTGTAACCTTATTAATGGTAAACAGAAATATTACTAATGCCTCTTGAGTATGTTATAACCAATAATAATGACATAATTTGGGTTGCCAGATTGACCCCAAATAATAATATTTTATAATAATATGGGAGCCAATCTTCATAATGAGTCATTTTGAATTGTTACTCCTCTGAGAAACTTTGCTGATAAATCTATAGTTTTCTTTAAAACAAAGTTTAAATTCAGGGCTTTAACATGTAATGAAGAATGTTCAGGCTGCTGTATTGTTACATTACTAAGGGTAAAGTTGTGAGTAACTTCCTTGAAAAACTGGAAACTGGGATAGACCAGAATTTCCTAATATTATCCATTCCCAGGTTTGTGTAAACCGGTGCACACGTCACATGACCAAGTTCAGCCAATAGCAAGTCGAGTTTGAGGTACCTTACCAGGTGCGTGCATCAACTAGACGGCTGTTGTTAGTCATCGCTGTGGCTCCGTACAACGTTACAAAACTGTAAATCAACAGGTACACTCATAGAGGTTTAGTTAATTCGCTTCAATCGGTTCACCTGTCCCTTGAGGAAGGAGGAAGACGAACACTGCGGCTCATGGCTTTGATTTTAGTCGCCTGCATTGTGGCATTCTCCGGGAACACTTTACTGGCAGACGGTAAGGATGTAGCCTACACAATAAACTCTATTCTCTTGTTTAGATTTCACAGGTTTACACGATATTTAGAAATCTAGTTTGACTTATGAACTATAATGTATTGTTCCTGGTTTGTTTTTGTCTATTTAAAACGTACTGACAGCCATGTTTTCGGGATGCTGTCTGGGTAAATACCAGGTAATGCACATAGTTCTTGAGGGTCACTTTATCTGTCACAGTCACATGCTGTTGCCTGGCAACATAAGGTGACCCGGACTTCGGACCCGGATGTGGGTCTCCTTTTATGAAAAACTGTTAAAACACAGAGGAATAACTCGAAAGTTGGACAGATAGGAAACAGGAAGGAAAGTTGTGCAAGTGTTTTGTGGTTTTAGTCGTAGGCACGATGAGCGCATGCGCTGAATATCCTGAAGAACAGGTCCAGATTCAATAGAACAGTATCTATCTCATTGTCTGAGGTGTATTTTACATCTGTCCTGAAAAGGGAGCAGTTAGGCCTGATATTAACTTGTTGTTTGCTTGGAACATGTCCTCAAACTGAAAAGGGTATTCAGTGATCTTCTCTTTTCATCTAAGTCAGCAAAACAGCCATTAGAGTCTGCTAGGTTGACAAAAAGTGTAAACAGGTTCACCTTCATGCACAATTAGACAATCAGTCATTGCTGAAAGCTGCCCTAACACTGAACTCAGCCTCATGAAGCTGCACAGGCTGTATGCAAACTGTTTACACAGACACACGGTAGGCAAAGTGTTTTCTCAAAAGGCTTATTGTTTGATCACACAACATAGAGTAGAGATGAATTCAAACCTTGTTATGCCTTGACCCGATATGACCGACACACAGTTGTATTCATTCATGTCGTGATTATAATTCAGGAAAGCTCATGGCGAATAGTTCAGTAGCAATTTGTAATCTGCAATTTTCTCATATTAAAGTGAACATTTTAATATTTCTTTCAATGATAATAACATTGATGATTAGATTAAAAAAATGATAATTTCCCCCGATAAAACGGGTACACATGTTCACTTACAGTACAACACTCGCTGTAACATTTAGCCTATTGTATTTCTTTTTCACACATATATGTATAGTTTACTTCATCTGCATTACTTGCACATTGGTCTTGCAAGATACAGTAATCTTGCACTCAGTTATTCTACTCTGTTTCTTCTTGCACTATTTTATTGTTTTTAAATCAGTGTTATTGTTTTATGACTTATATATATTTATGTTGCATTGTTGGAGGAGCCTGGGTCCTAAGATTTTCATCGCCACATCTATACTGTAGCTACTGTGTAAATGAGAATTAAGCCTTTATATCTTTGAATCTTTGAATCTTGAATCTCTAAATAGTATCACATTTGCAATATCAGTCAAAAATAATCACAATTAGATTATTAATTAGTTGAAATAGTTTTCGACCTAATTGAGATATAACAATCAGTTTTGGGATGGATAAAGTTGACTTGTTGCATCTCTAATGTGTGTCTCTATCTGTAGCTCAGACGTGTGTGGATGGGAGCGTGTTTAAGGAGCAGGTGCTCTATGTGGGGCAGCAGGAGCCCCCATACCGGCTGACCTGCCCTCTGGAGCCCCAGAGCCCCCCCCTGACCTGGCAGAAAGACTGCAAGCCGCTGCCCTCCATGGAAGGGAAGGCCTACCTGGAGTTTGCCAACTTCAGCTCGGCAGACCAGGGGAATTACACCTGTATGCAGCAGGGCAACAGCTCATCCTCATTCACTACGCGCCTCATAGTTAAGGGTAAGTACTACGTCTATGTTAAGTGTAATGGAGGCTATTTGAACAGGATACTGTAATTATGTGGCTCTCACAGTAAGCTATTTCTTGCAGGGTTGGGAGGCAACAGACCACATATATAACTTTCCAAAAAATCTGTTAGAATCTCTCCTCAGCCCAGATTATATTTGAATTGAAGTATTGGACATGTTTTAAAAGTGCTTTCTATGTTTGATTTTAAAGTATAGAAAGGTGTTCAAATAAAATGTCCTTTTCTTCTTGTAAAACAATTGATGATGTAGCTAATTCAAACACTACCTGTCCAATTTGAATGCAGTAAATAATTGCATTTTAAAGTCACCCCCCCAACGTTGATCTTTTTATCCCTGAACCAGACATAACGTTTGTATGGGGGTTTAGGGAGCTAGTTGAGCGAGTACACCTACAAGAAGGCATTTAGCTTCAGCTCGTCTTCCAGCTGCAGTCTCAGCCTGTGCACATGAAAGACGCTATTGTCTGCGTTTCCTACAGCGAACACAGATACCGCAGGTCCTTCCTCCCTGCAGCGGTCAGACTATACAACCAGCACAGGCCCTAGTAGACCCCCCTCACACACACACACACACACAACAACACAGACTATAACACCCCCAATATGTGCTATATGTGCAATATATATATATAACTTTTTGTTTACTTTAATACTTTTGAATGCATGTAACTTATGTAACATTAAGCTATCTGTGGCTCTTTTTCTGCTGTAACAATGTACATTTCCCCTCTGTGGGACTAATAAAGGTATTCTGATTCTGATAACAGTGGTTTGTCTTTTCTCAGAGTCACGGTGCTCCAAAGACCCAGGATTTAAGCGAAATGAAGACAGACTCCTTGGAAATATAGGATCCACTGTGACACTGAACTGCACGGCTCTTCTCTTCTGGGATCCCACAGAGGAGCACTGTGACACCACGCTGCAGTGGAGTAAAGATCACTTTCCCCTCCCCAATCACATACATTACACGCTGAATGCCTCCTCATGGTGATTTGAAGTTTTCTAAAGTCACGTTGAAGCATCTTCATAAAAAAAGCATTTGAGAGTGGAAGTAAGATTGAGTTTCCTTTCCATCTCATCAGGTATCCTGCAGCCGGCCAGCTGATGGTAACCAATCTGCTGGAGATCAAGCTGAAGGAGCAGGATGATTTTGGGCTGTACATCTGCACAGTGAGGAACTATTCCTCTCTATTCAGAGTTTCGGGAGAGTGTAAGAAAACTACTTATTTATGTTGGTTTCTTACAATCTGTCCTGCATCTTTAGACGTCAATACTCTGCAGTAAAATGTGTCTTGGTTTCAGCCCTACATTAATATTGAGTCTAGTACTTAATTGTTTCAGGAATCAGTCTTACAGTCACACTCCACTGACGGAATTCATATTCTGCAGTTTGCGATGATCAATTTGAATGAAAGTATTGGTTTATTGTGATTTTTCCATAGGGATTGCATGCGGTCGACCCCACGGCCCCAACCACATATTTTCTGTTTTGGCAGCCATCGTCCTCCTCCTGCTCCTGGCTGTCGCTGCTGTTGTGTACTCCAGGTGTCACCTGAACATCAAACTCTGGTACAAGAATTCCTACGGAGACTATGAACTCAGTGGTAAGTGACATAATGTTACTATAACCATGTGAGACTGTGAGAATATAAAGTATCAACATCATTGGTTGGTTTTTTTGTGTCTCTTCAGATGGCAAATTATTTGATGCCTACATCTCCTATGTGAACAATGACCACGACAGGAAGTTTGTCAACTTCATTCTTAAACCTCACCTGGAGAAAAGAAATGTGTACAAAGTGCACCTCAATGACAACGCTATCCTACCTGCTTCAGGTAAGCCTAATGTCTGTTGTTGTTGTTGTGGAATGAATTGGAGAGTGGGAAATGTGGACTCTATTTTTAACTAGTTTTTGTTCTCTTAACAGTCCAGAATGTTCAGATCCTCCTGAACCTGTTGCTACGAGTTATTCTGGGGCCCCTTTCACCCAATAAGCCCTTGAGCAAGGCACCGGACTACCCCCTTCCCCCCCACTCCCATTGCTCCCCGGGCGCTGTACAATAGCTGTCCACTGCTCCTCGTACTAGACTCCTGGTACTCGGATGGGTTAAATGCAGAGGCCAAATGTCACTGTGTGCTGTGTGCTCTGCACGTGTGACCATTAAAGAGTGATTCATCCCTCCCATTCTATTCTATTCTATTATGTGTTGCAATTTGCAACCGTGAGACCATTTTCTCATGTTAATCTAAATAATCTTAAAACAACAAATGCCATAACAATTTGTAAACAACAATGATTTGTCTGAGTATTTGTTATCTGTGTGTAAGCACTTTTGAACCTTAAGCAGCCCATTTTGAACAACGCTCTACAATATTTTGTGTCTCCAGAACCGTCTGCAGAGCTGCTGATGAACTTGAGTCGCTCTCGGCGTCTGATCGTGTTGCTCTCTCATGCTTACCTCGAGCAGGACTGGTGCTGCAATAACTTCAGGTCAGATGAATTCAATGTTGAACAAACAACCAATAATATATACAGAATAAAGCTTAGTAAAATGAGTGTGGCATCATCACAATATACCACTTGAGGTCAGTGTTGCTGTCTCCACTATGTCCTATCCTGACACGGTGTGTGTGTTTTCAGACAGGGTCTTCTGCACCTGTTGGAGTTGTGTCCGCAGCCCATCCTCATCCTGTTGGAGGGTCAGTCCAAACGCATGAGGCCTGAGATCAAGCAGCTGCTCAATGATCACCAGCACTGCCTCACCGTCCTCACCTGGAAGCACAACTCTGTGGTAAGACCCACAAGAGTACCTATCAGAGCGATCAATTACCACCAAAATACTATAGGACTTGCTTTAAACAGAATTATGTTTAACTTTTTACAAAAATAATAGATATACATTATATTTTAGCTAAAATTTAAGCCAACATTCATCGAAAAATTATATATTATTATGTTAATTACATATATACAATACAGTATGTGCAAAGTGTATATCATGTCTCAATCTCTCTAACACTGACAGCAATATGAGTACAAGAGAAAAAACCTCTTCAATTATATTTGTGTTCTACTCTTTACCGGCCATTTACATCTACGCAATTATAGATATTTCTAATTTTGAGATGTGATTCATTGTAATAAAATAAATAAACATCTGAATTTAATAGGGATGTAACGATACTAAAAACTCACAGTACGATAATATCGCGATTAAAAAGTCCACGGTACGATATTTATCGCGATGTTGAAAAATAAAGGAAAAAAATGTGATTTTTTTTTTTAAATACATCTGATTTGTACAGTATTTTAGTAGGATAGTAGTATTTTAAAGTGTGAACAATATAATAATCAGACCCTGCAATAGAATAAATCAAGTTTCACTTTTTTCAAGTAACTCACTAACTCACTCACTCACTCAGCATCATCAAGGTTATCTTTTAGGAATATGAGCATGTCCACATTTCCAGTTGGAAGCTTTTTTTTTTTTTATTTAAAAAAAAAAATCGCGGTAGATTTTGCCAGTCTCACGACGGTATTGAGACATCTATTTACCGCGATATTCGATATATCGTTAGATCCCTAGAATTTAAATTAGAAAAAGTATTGCATATACTGTACTATAATGGAATAGGGCTTCTACAGGTGAGACTACAGTTCAGTTTGACTCTTAACAGCGCAGTGTAACGTGTCATGTTTGGTTTCCACAGACTCCTTCCTCCGTCTTCTGGAAGGAGCTGGCCTTAGCGATGCCTCGTAGAGTCGTCTTCCGCAGCTCGTCTGCCTGCGAACCTCAAACTTTGCTACACAATGACAAGGACCCCATGCTGACCCTCGACTCCAACTACCGGGACTCCAATTCAGACACTGACCCTGCCGGAGATCTGGGTAAGAACAACAGTCACTAAGTAGTAATGTTTGGAATATTCTTACCTCTATCTGCACATAAAAGTAAAAGAAAGGCACAGATAAGTGCCAGGTGACTGTTGTAATGTAATTATTATTGTAATTCAATACATAGACAACATGCTAAAGCAGGTTTATTCGTGTTTAACAACCATCTGGTAGTGATCCAGAGATGTTAACGCTAGTTGGTTGTCATGCACTTTTTCTTGAATAGCAATTAAAATATTGATCGTAATAGCCTATATTCAAGTCTCAACCTGACAGTCTCTTTTGTCTTTTTCAACGTGCAATACCAGCTGACCTAGTTAAACTTTCAATAATCAAACACGAGTTCAACAGTTAATCTTTAACTAAAATAAACAAAATCCTTCGACGTGATGAGCTTGCACATATTCTCTTCAACAGTTTGTCTGTCCTGTATCATATCAGGACATTCCAAGCCGATATGAGACAAATGCTTTCATGTCAAAGGAATAGCTCAGTATTATCATAGTTACCGAGATTCTTGATGAATAGATTAGTTCAACTTTATACTTTACCTACATGTGAAACTACAGTCAGTTATCTTAGCACATTAACTGGAAACAGGGTCAAATACAGTACCTAGCCTATCTCTGTCTGAAGCTCACAAATCTACACCCAATATCTTTTCTTTCTTAATTGTTTTAAAAACATAATGGTTTAGACTAAAGGTTGTCTCAAGGTGACTAAAACATTTGAATAAAGCTTCTCAATAACTATTAGTCAGTCACCAAACCCCATGTATACTACAACCTGAAGTTTTTGCACTGCTGGAGATGCTGGTAGATAATAATAATAATAATAATAATAATAACTTTTATTTATATAGCGCTTTTCAATAACCCAAAGTCGCTTACAAAAACAATTAAAAGTACAGAAAGGGGGTGAACAGGCAGAAGACAACATATTGGACAAGAAAATTGAACATGAACATTACATGAACANTTTTCCGCTGACTGATTGTTTCCATCAACAAACATTATACATGAGGGTGAAGTCAGACTCTGGAAAGAGTATGAAGAAATTAATCAAAACAAGAAAGGTGATTTTATTTCGGATAAATGAGGATTATAATTGAAATGATAGGCATAGGAAGGAGTCTTCTATACATCTCCTTCTTCATCCAATCCAGTGTAAACCTATCAACTTTGATCTGCTTTGGGGAAATGAAATCCTCTTCTACCCTCGAGGGAAATGTTTGGGAAAGGTTCAGACAGGTTGCAGTTTAACATTTTCTCCTTAGCTGCACCCAAACAAAGAAAGGCAGTCATGAAGAAGGGCAACAAGAGCATTGATGTGTATTATGAATTCAATTACAGATGTTTTAACTGGAGGTGTAAAGTAACTAAGTACATTTACTCAAGTACTGTACGTAAGTACACTTTTAAGGTACTTGTGCTTTACTTGAGTATTTCAATGTTTGGCTACTTTGTTCTTCTACTCCACTACAAATCACAGGTCAATCGTTTACTTTTAGTATATTTATCTTAAAGCTTTAGTTACTTTGCAGATTTGGATTTATGATGTGAAATATAATCAACTCTTAAATAAGACTTTAGTTACACCTGGAGTAAATTCACAAGCTACCCTGCAGTATACAAAGTCGTTAAAACTAGCTGCACCTTTACCAGCTTTGATAAACACTTTATTGATCAATAATTATAATCAAAACATATAATACATATTATTCTGAAATGGGCCATTCTGCATAATGAGTACTTTTACTTGAGTTACTTAAGTTTAATTTGATGCTAATGCTTTTGTACTTTTACTTGAGTAACATTTTGAATGGAGGACTTTTACTCGTAACTGAGTATTCCTACACTCTACTTCTTTTTTGCTCATTTTTTACTCATTGTTCCCCGGCTCAGAACCAAACACGCCGAAGCTGCTTTTAGTTTTTATGCTGCCCACAAATGGAACAAACTTCCAGAAAACCTGAGGTCTTCACCAACGCTGAGTTCTTTTAAGTCAAGGCTAAAAACACTACTTTTTAGAGCTGCTTACCCAGAAGCCTTTTAACTTGTTTTAGCACTTACCGTATTTACAAAGTCGTTTTTAAACTATTTTGTATCTCATTAATGCATTGTTTTTATGAATCTGTTATTCCATTATGTTTATTTATTGTGTTCCTCTCTGTTGTCTTACTATTATGTGTTAATGAACATATAAAGCACTTTGAATTGCCCCTGCGTCTGAAATGTGCTATATAAATAAACGTACCTTACCTTAGCTTACCTTCTACTGTTACTTAAGTAATTCTCCCGTCTCTGTCCAACAGTGACTTTTTCATATAGTCTGTATCTTGACAGGTGCTTGACTGCAGACATTTGGCATGTATCATGTTTTACTCCCACGCTTCATGTTGCTCTCATAACGGCTGTGATGACTCATAGTTGCTAAGCTCATATAAAACAAACCAGATAAAACAAAGGTGTGGCTCCACCTTAATAATCGAGTGAGACTTCACCACACCTGGTAACAGTCCTCCATTCACACTCAACGTCATTTGCAAGATTGAACTCAATCTCAGGCCAGTTTGTGAAAACGTCACAGATAAATCTATCTAATTACTGGGAGCCGAAAGCTTTTAAACTCTGAACACTGAGGCATAGGGTACAAATGTCGGAACTTAACTTTTGCAGTTTAAAAAAAACCTGAGGAATATTTTTAATTCCCAAAATATACCAATAAATGAAACAATTTTTGAAAAATTAAAAAGTCGTTGGAAGGAAAAGTAGCCTACTCATATATATTTTACGTTAGTCAAAGCAGCAATACTACTGTGTAGAAATACTCTGTTACAAGTTATATTCCCACATTCCAAAAGTGACTTAAGTAAAAGTAATGTAATATTACTGAAGTAGCAAAATTAGGCATTAACACACATTACAGAATAAAACACTTTCTATGATTAAATAAAGAAAATGTAGGCATAATGTGGAGGCACCACCAATGTTTAAACTCCATATATGACTGGGAGCTAGTAACTAATGCAGTGGAGTGAAAAAATGAAAAAAAAACGAGCGTTTTGAAATTCAACATTAGAAGTAGAAATATAAAATGGCATCAAATGGAAATAGTACCTTAAAATATCTCTTGGTACAGTGCTTGAGTAAAATAACTTTTTTGCTATGCACCACTGTTAATAACATTGCTGTCACACTGGATGACATGTGGCATCATAGTGTGAATGAATTGGTCACAATTCACATGTAATTCATTTGGATATGACTTCACTGACCACAGTCACAGGGAGCTGACACAGGCAGGTCTATTCACAGCTGTTTGACCTGGTTCATCCTCACTGACACTTCCTGTTTCACTGTGTTACAAGATGGAACCTTTTTTAACTTTTATTTGTCAAATACATGATTGCAATGTATTTAACCTTTAAAAAATAAAGTTAAAATGAAACAAATCTTAATAATGTAACACTAAAATGTATTATTGTTTTTTTTTCATATTCATATTAGTGTTATAAGAACTTTTTTTAGTTTTTCTCCCCCCAGAAATTGATTCATGCCGGTTTCAGTTATTTTCCAATAAAAAATAAAAATCCAGTTACTGCTTTCTCAAGCATTCGTCAACCATAACTGACCATGCTAAACTGAGTATTTGTTAAACAGTGTGCGGGAAGAATGTGACTCAACCAGCAGCATAGGCCTATGTGTGATTGAGGTCACCAGGTCAAGTAGAGGCCAGTCGAAAGTATGTTAGAGAGTAGAGTCAGTGAGGAGGACAGGAAGATAATGGCGATTTGGTTTTATGTAAACTGCTGAATATTATATTGAGAGGGACACCGTCCAGAGGGAGGCAGTAATGTAACGTCCCAGAGGTAAAAGTGAAGAAGAAGAGCACCTGTGCAGGTAGTGTTGCCCCGAGGCTCCTCCCCCTGATGGGCAGCTCTGCTCCCTCTGATCGCCTTGCTCTCTCTGCGCCCCTCTCACACTTTCAGCTGCACAAACAAGCTCCGCAGTACGGACTGTTTCTACCAGGACGCCATACGCGCGTCTTTTAACTTTTCACCATGAGTATCGTGGGCTCTGAGAGTGTGTTTTTGTCCGCCTTAAAGCCCAACACCTCGGTCACCACCTATGGGCTCCCGTCGGAGATCCACCTGGGGAACGGGGGCACGATGTCGGACGAGATGACCCGAGCGCGACGTGTGCAGCAGCAGGTCCAGATGAGACTGGCGGAGAAGTCCACACTTCCGCGTCAAAATGGATCAACTTCACACTACGCCATGTCAGGTAAACACCAACAAGTGTTTTTCGTTGTTTTTAACAAGGGTCTCCACCTTCTGCGTCATGACCATAGGTCATGACAGTTGCTTATTTCCGTGTACAGAGCACAGGAATGACCTGTGGAGGAATGACCTGTGCTCTGTAAGGGACTGGCAAAGTTCAAACACCTCTGTGTCCTCTCAGGAACAAAAACAGGTGCATGGGTCTGACACTAAAACCCTAAAAACGGACCTCTTAACTGTGTTACAGACGAGAAATGGAAGTTCTTATCTGATCCGTCCGACGTGTTTTGTTTCCTTTAGCCTTAGCCTACTCCAAACTGCTGAAATAGACACTGGACATCCCAACATATTGCTGTGTTTTAAAAATGTTAAACCCCTACAGTGTAAGGTCCAATCTCTGTTTTTTAGTCACACAGCACACCCACATACAGTATCAATAGATTGTGAAAGCAAAGTACTTTATTCATTTTGTTGTTATTCCACTAAATATTGGCTATACAAATGGATTATTAATGGATAAATTAGTTGGTTCAGTTAAGTTGCTGGAACCAGCAAACTTATAGTCAAATAAATATATACATAAAAAAAGAGGGGACAATAAATTACCTATTGGCTGACAAATAGATTAATATATTTATTGTTTTGGGGTAGAAAATAGTTAATTTATCTTTTGTGGATAAGATGTTATAATGTTCCTAGATTGGTGACTCAGATCAGTGAAGTAGCTTTTACTTTCAAGAGTGTACACACTCTTGAAAGTAAAAGGCTTACATTCACTGATCTGAAAGTAAAAGCTACTTCACTGATCTGGGTGTGTATGAACAAACATGCGCATGAACACACATTTGTTCATTACTTCCCGTCAGCACAATTTGTCTGGAATATGTCTATTCGGCTCCTCTGCATGTCCGTAGCGGTAGAACCTGAATCCTCACATTTGATCTTACAGTGTTTATTCCTCATACCCTCACACGAAAAAGGGTTAATGTGTAACAGGCTCAAACAAGCCCTGCTTTCATGAGTTTCCCTGATAGCAGAGCCAGGTAAAAGCCTTCCACTGTGGGATTGGGTTTCAGGTCTTACTCAGCTTTAAGAGGTGAGGGCTGAAGAGATACCTGAGAGATGACGGCGTGGTGAGAACCAGTTGTGTGTCTGGTAAAAGACATCGTGAAACAGCATCTGTCTGACCCAACTTAACACAGCCAAGGTCGGGTTGTTACGTAAGCAGCAGTGCGACTCCCACAGTCTCACAGGGGAAAGGCTTCCATGGGAGTTTTGAATGAGTAGACTTAGTTGTGACATTACTGCATTTAAGAAGCTAAGTTAGTGTAACATGTTTAGCTACACAAAACGGTGACAAGAACGTGCACGCCTGCTTGATGCATGAACGCATTCCTTCCTGTCCTATAATTTATTGCTTTGCCCCAAACTAGAGATGACAGCTCCTTGTCTGCATCATATTTACAGCTCTGGTTTGGGCAGGAGAATGTCTTCTCACTCGTCTAGTTTGAGCACTTCCCGGAGGCACAAACAGCACCTGCCTTGAAAGAAAACAAATACTGTTCGTGGCATTTTAACTGTTGAAACAAACAGGGACATACAACACTTAAGTCAAATAACTCTGTCAAATATTGCCACAATTTATGAAAATCGTGTCTGAGCATGATATTTTTCACACTGTTATCTCTGCCTGACCTTTGCCGGGGGAGGAAGACAGACAGTCATAAATTGTGGCTTTGCCAAATTCATTGTTTTATGTAACCTGAATAACAGAGAAAGAAGGATTCTTGACAACACAACAGGGAATGCCGCCATTTCAGTGGTTTGCGGCTTTAGAAGGACTCGTTATGAATGCATCACAGTTCATACATGAGGAAAACGCCAAGAGGAAGGAACGCCTCCTCTTGGGTTGTAAATGCTGCAATAAAATATGCATGTATGGAACAATGTTTACTGGTGAACGTGTCCTGGCTGGCAGAGAGTCAGAGCGAGAAAAAGAGAGTGTATGCTTAAGATTTGGCTTCATGTCCAAAGTGAATTTTTCAAACAACAACAAATGAAATCGGAAAGTTCAGTTTTCAAGGTGTGTCCTCTGTGTGTTGTAAAGGTGCTTTGGGCGTTGCCAGGTTGGGACGTGGCCAGGGAACATGTCAGTCATTTTCCCCCACACTGAGTGGTGTAAGTGCTCTATAGCAATGAGGCGTGAAAGGAGGTTCACTCCACCCCTCTGATGCATAAGAAATGTGAGAAACGGATGCCCACGACGTACAGTACAATTACATTTTTTTTCCCAGTTAGAGTAGGATGTCCTTCAGTGTTGCACTTCCTAAATACAAAGGTATTAGTTGGTTTTGAAACATGATATGCTGCCTGGAGATAAGAAGAACACTGACTGCAGGTTACTTTCTTTTATCTGTGTGTTACATTTAGAAAGTGAAATCACATGACTGTTATGCAACCATTTAAACCAGAAAGAGACAATTATGTCTGTGAAGGGTAACCAGAGACGTGAGACCGGTCGGTCCTGCTGGTACTGACTGTATGCAATTGAAACTTCAGGCTTCAGTGCAACAGGACACCTGCAATGTATGTCTTTCATGCAAATCATCACAAATGTAAGGGCGTTACACACCTTGTTGTGGCTTTCATGTTGTGATGAAATCTTCATCCACTGTGCCGTTTGTTCTATCACTATTTTACTTAGATTTGTTTCCATGTTTACATTTACCCTTGCAGACAAAAAAAGTCAGTCTCTGTTGTATTCAAATGAACTTTTATGAGGGTCAATGGATGAAAGAACAATAACCCAAAGGATTTTTGTTTTAATTTGGAAACAACATTGTAAAGTTAACAGGATTCAATTTTCCCTGTTTTCCTGATCGCGTGGTTACGTGCAGTAGCGCCGCTGAAGGTCAGGCTTCACTTGATGCTGTATTATTCATGTGTGTTATTTTGTGGCAGAGCTCAATGATCGGTTGACACATCAAACACACAACACAAAGCACTAATGAAAAGTTTTCTTTGCTCCCTCTGGCAGGGTAGTCAACATTGTCCTTCTTTCACATCATTATAAGACCAGTTTAGTATTCCATGTTTTGAAAAATTTGGATCAATCAATTTAAAAAGAAAACGATCTCATCACTGAAGGATGACCTCACAAAACTTATTAAACCAACGTAAAAGGCCTTTGTCAAATAAATCTGTTTTCAGGGTCAATTACTAACAATTCACTGTTTTGCAAAGGTTACTACAGATACTACTACAGATGAAAGTTCTCTTATTACATTTAATTATTTTTTTAACTAACAAATGTTTTGAGCTGGCAATTAAACTGACGTTTCCTAAAACATTAAAAGTTAAACCAGGCAGTTTAAGAGTACTCAACACTGAAAACGTTCAAACTTTTATTAATAGTTCTTTAAAATATCTGGAATTAACTCTGGATAGGATCAACAAGTTGAATGTTAATGATCTATATAAGCTTTTTACCAAAAATAATATATGCAGATGTAGCTCCCTTTGTAAACATTTTCATTCAATAAAATATTGTTCTCAGTAATTGTATCTGAGTACAATTGCCTTTTATTTTGTCATTTAAACCAGCTAGTCTTTCAGTAAATCAATGTAATCGTGTTAATGTATTCATCTGTTATTCTTTCTCTCTACTTCCTTCCAGACTACGGCGGTGCTTCAACATTGAAACATCAGACCAACAATCCAAGCTACAGCTCCAAGTCATCCTACATGTACTCAGGCTCCAAAACAATGGTGAGTACTACTGCATTATCTCACTCTTTCAGCGTGTATTCACACTTTCTATACAAATATTCAGCTAATCGTGTAATATGTCATTTAACTAGGTATTTCAATAAAACAAACACATCACTGACTCTCTGCCAGTGTTTGAGCGGGTCACCCAGGACACAGCATGTGTGGTATTTCACAGTACGCTGTGATGAGATCACCTCAGGTTTTCAAGTCTACCCTCTAGATTCCTCCATTTTAGTGATTCAACAGGAAGATGCTGGATTTGGGCCACATATATTTAAGCTCTTCGCCTAAGAGAAACCTGAAGTTGCATATTAAACTAAATAATTTGTTGTATGAGGAAAGGAAACTAAAATGACAAAACAGACTTAGGGCTGACCTGCAAGATAGTAGAATTGCTGTGATCGGATTGAGAAACCATTTTCTGTGTTTCACACACACACACACACACACACACACACACACACATACACATATACACACATACACACATACACACATACACACAGTTCACTAGAGCTTAATGAGTATCTCTGGTTACACATTTGATTGTGATCGTCACTCCTTCCCTCATCCTCAGGGTCCACGCATCTCCCAGAAGGCGGGTTTCAGTGCCCGATCTGCTGGTGCAGACTTGGCCACGCTGCACAAGATCAGTGTTGGGGGAATGGGAGGTGGTGGTGGGAACGGTGGGGCTGTCTACCAAAGTGGCGGATACCAAAGTGGCGGATACCAAAGTGGCGGACAACAAAGTGCGGGGTACCAAAGTGGAGGATACCAAAGTGGAGGATACCAAAGTGGGGGATACCAAAGTGGGGGATATCAAAGTGGCGGCATGCAAACTGGCGGCATGCAAATTGGCGGCTTACAAAGTGGCGGCTTACAAAGTGGCGGCTACCAAGGTGGCGGCTACCAAACGGCCGTCATGCAAACAAGACAAGTGGACCCAGAGACCCTCTCCATGAACGCAGTGCGGCAGCACACGGCGCAGGTGAATCCCGGGTGGGTTGATACGAGCGATGCCTACAGCATGGTCTCTGAGCGTGACGCCACCTATGGCCGCCAGTATGCACAAAGCGCAGTCAACGGCTACGCCACCCAGGTCAGGCAAGGAGGCTCCATGACCTTTAACTCTCCCATGCACCGATCTCTTAGTGGCACTCTTGGCCGCAGCGGAGAAATGACAGGAGGAGAAGTGGAGGTCACACAGCAGCACTCCTACAAAGGCCCGGCCCACCGCACCATCAACAGGATTACAAACAGAAACCGGATGAGCACCGGCTCCTTGCCTGGGCAGCAGATCTTGTCCAGTGGGAGTGTGTATAGTAGTGGGGGGGACAGAATGGATGCAGGATATGGAATGGCCCAGCGTCAGGGCACTATGTCTCGTGCCCAGTCGATCAAAAGCATGCACAGTGTGGGCAGGGGCATGGACGTCTTCGGGCAGATGGATATGGGAGCCAGCATGGGAAACCTCAGCGGGTGAGAAGCTTACATTACATCCCATTGTGCCCCAAGTCCCCACCTTTTTCACTTTTAAAACAATGATGGCTCATTTGTTTGTTTTCATACTTTGTTACTGACAGATCTTTAGAGGGTAACTTGTGTGTAGATATTGTAGATAGTCTTTTTCCTTTTGTCAACAGATCCTAAGAAATCCAGTAGTTGATCAACTGATCCTGAATTATTTTCTGAAAGAAAAGCCTGATATACAGTAGCTCAATCCCCCCTGCTAAAGAGAGCCTTCATGCTTCCATTGTCCAAACACTTCTTAATATAGCATCTAAAAACATATCAGCAAGGCACACTTTTGCACGCAATGACATGTCCCTAGGTTAGATGAACTGGAGAACTGCAGTTTCTCTTGATTCAGTCCCTCGTGCATTTTCCTGCTGCTGTAAATACTAACTTTTTCTCTGACATTAATGTGCCTGGAGCTTTAAGTCAGGGAGTGTGTGATGTGAGCTTAGTATTTCACAAGAGCTGTGGATTGGGAGGAGGCTCCGTAGTTGCAGGACTGGTTTTGGGTGTGGCAGCTCAGTTTCAGGCCTCACATTTCACACAACCCAGCGTGTGGTTTCCCGAGCAGATTTGCAGACCACTGTGTGATTTGGAAAAAATACCAGAAGCTGGATTTTTGCATGCAACAAATAAATCATCCATAAATAATTACTATTGCTGACATATTTTGTGCTTCCATACATATGTCCAAGGAGTTGATCCTAGTGAGGGGAGAGAAAACAGGGTAATGGGGTCATTATAATGTTTTAGATTATTTTGTTGAACTTGTGTTTTTGCTCCCTCACTAGGATCAACTCCTTGGACATGCCATCAGCAGTGCATAACCTGACAGAGGAGGACCATGGCCTGCAGGTCCTGGGTGCCGCCTACATTCAACACGAGTGTTACAGTGACAACGATGCCAAAAATGAGGTAGTTAAACTTGTGGTTATAGCTCTGGGTTTTTCATTTCTTTTGTCATAAAGTAGCTATGCCTTTGCTTCACATGTTGGTCCATTTTTATTATCACTGTCACATACACTGCAGAAGGGATTAACACTCTTATCTTATGTGATAGAGAGCTAAATCTGTGTTTTGCCTCTGAGAATATTCTAGGTTTGGATTCGGTGTTGAATGAGTTTTGTAAAAAATAAATCCAGATGTTTTTGTATTAAAAGGAAAGAAAGATGTGTTATAGAACAGAAAGGGGTACGACATGCAACAAAGATCCCAATGTTGGAAAATTATTAAATAATTGTGGTATGTGGCATGCGCTGTAACAACTTGTTTACAAATAGTTACTTGCAAATAAACCCATTTCATTTTTTTGCATGTTTGTAAAGCTTACTGTAGCTTAATATTTAGACCAAAAACAGAGGGAAATAGCTGGCCTGGCTTTGTCTCAAGTTAATAAAATATACAATGTAATATCTTTCTCAACTAACTCAGGTAGAAAGCAAAAATATGCATATCTTTTGGAACAATTGAACAATTTGTCTAAACCTATTGCAGAACTTGGGAAATCCTAGTGCCATCATTTTTTTTTAACAAACATACAGGAACATAGGGGCTTTAATCCATGACCTACTGTAGATCTAACCTAGATCGCCTAACTATGGGGTAAAATGCAGTGAAAAACATGAAATATCCTAAGCTGACGATTTATTTCCCTGCCACCCCGTCTCTAGGTGCGTCATTTGAAGGGAATCAGTGAGCTAGTGAAGCTCTTCAACTCCGAAAACCAGGAAGTGCAGCGTTATGCCACCGGTGCAACACGCAACCTCATCTATGAGAATATGGACAACAAGGTGGCCCTGATCGAGGAGGGCGGCATCCCACAGCTGGTCGAAGCACTGAAGGAAAAAGACGATGAGCTCCACAAAAACATCACTGGTAGGAAAAACTTGACGGCAGTCATTAACATAAAAAACATGATACAACAAGCAGAGCTGAGCTGGGACTTTGGCCTCAAGTAGAACTTGTGCAAATTATGTTATCATAGTTTTAGAATACAACATGATATTAACAGTGGTGTCCTTACAATACCTGAACATTACATTATTCCGCACCAAACAAACAGGAGGCAAGCTGTAACTATAAACTATTGTCAGAATCAACAAATTGTGAGCATTTAATTAAACTAATTATAGTTACTTTCATATTTTAAGATAGATAGAGAAGATTTGATTATTAGGCTGTTGATTATTCTCAGTTCTTATGTATGTTTACAGTTCACTACTGAATAACTCTTGTTTGCAGTTGACTCATCTCCCCACCCCTCAGCACTTGTACATTCCAACAACTTCAGTAGCTGACATTATTGCAATTATCTGTTTTCAGCAGAACTGGCAGTCATTCGCTCATAAAATGAAGACTGTAGGAATGTTGGAAATGTATCATACAACTCCAACTTCACAGTGTAGAGATTTTTGCCTGACATGTTGTGTGTCTGAAGGCATAAAGAAAAAGAGGTGGAGCTGCAGGTTTTCTATATGGAGTTTGAAGAGAGGGATCATATATGAGGGAGTTGTCTTGGCCTGAGGCCTAACAGTACTGTATACCTGCCGCTCCCTTTTATGACTGATGGCCTTGTCAGCCCTTTGAGCCGTTACACCTTGATGTATATCTGACGAGGCGCTTAATCACTAGTTTCTGTGAGAATGTGATAAATGTCAGAGCAACTGTACCTGTGCACCTTTTTTCTGGAGTTTTGCCAAATGTCACAGAGTTCTTTTCTTATAATACCAACTAATGTCTTAGCTTCACTGTCACTTCACTGTGACTTCACTGAGTTTCTCATATAGACTCTGAAAGGATTTTATATGTCCAAGTTTGACTTTTAATGTCAATATGTCACTGTACATTAGGGCTGCTCAATTAATAGTATTTTAATCGCAATTCCGATTTTGGCTGGCAACGATTATGAAAACAACATAATCAAAATAAAACGATTATTATTTTTTTTTTTAATGATCGTGATATCAATTATTGACCCAAATAATCGAGATTATGATTTTTGCCATAATCGAGCAGCCCTACTGTACATATGAAGATTCAGCCAGCAGGTGGTTAGCTTAGCTTAAACTTAACACTTAACACAGGGGAAAAACTTAGCCTGGTACAGTCAAACAGTACCAAACTCACACCTGTTTTTGGCCGATAGCTTTTGTACACATTACACACATTGCAGGTTGTATAGTTGCTGGTAGATGTTTTTTGTAACCAGGCTAGTTGTTTCCCCCCGGGTCTTCTTACTAAACTAAGCTAACAAACTGCTAGGTAAATATTGAACAAACAGCTATAACACAGTGGTACCGAGCTTTTCATCCAGCTCTAAGTAAGAAAGTGACTAATCTGCCTTCCCAAATGTTGAACTGTTTATTTAAAATAAGGTTAGGGTGAAGCATGAAAAACTCCAAGATTAAAGTGAAAATATCCTCACATCCAGGTTGAGAAGTAAAACACAAATTAATATGTAAAATAAAGCATAAAAGTCTGTTTTGTTGACTCTCCTCTCGTGTGTATGCAGGTATCTTGTGGAACCTTTCCTCCAAAGACAACCTGAAGGAGAAACTGGCCAAGGAGACCCTCCCAGAGCTGACGGAGAACATCCTCATCCCTATGTCAGGCAAAGACACTGATGGCTACCAGCAGACGGCCTCTGAGGCAGACATTTTCTACAACACCACAGGATGCCTCAGGTACACCTCACCTATTTGTGTCTTCTCTGTGTGGTAGCAGCATGCTCCTTTTGATTAAGATGTATTTCATGATCACATTTTCTATTTGGGAACTTGTTCTGGTAGTACACGCCAACTCACTGGCTCCGGGCTAGTGGAGCTTCTACCACACCCATTTATTTTCACAGTTGTGTTTGAAAGCCTGCGCCACTCCAGGCCCCCGGCGCTTTGACTCTGTTTGTGTGCATGCTGAAGGGTTTTTAATCTCTAAACTAATTTTCATTTTGTTAATATTTGTCTGGGTTAAGACCTGAGCAATACTATTGGCAAGAAAATCTACAAGAGATTGTACAGTGCAATCAGAGAGATACAGTATGTCCACGATGATATTATATTGATGGTGTGATATTAGACTAGATATCATCTTAGATTTTCGAAATTGTAATATTGTAATAATTCACAAGTGTTTTCGTTTCCTGGTTTTAAAAGCTGCATTACAGTAGAGTGATGTATTTGTATAACTTGTATTATTTGTCTGTAACCCTTAAGTGAATAGACCCACAATACTATTGATTGATTATTAAAACAACATTTATCTTAATATTTGTATGAGATCATTAATAGTAAAGCCAACAATATTGTCAAAATATCAATATAATGTTTTGTAGAAAATATTGTGATATTTGATTTGTACCAGCCCAGTTTGTTAAATATAATATGATGCATGATTTCTGGATTTTACCTAAAATATCTCTCTGACTCCTCTCTTTGCTCAGGAATATGAGCTCTGTGAACAAGAAGACCCGTCAGCAGATGAGAGAACAACCCGGACTGGTGGACTCTTTGGTCTGCTACATCAAGAACTCCCTCGAGGACGGCAAGGCAGAAGACAAGGTGAGATCAAACGAGATGGAGCTGAATTCAATCCGTTTTTTTTGTTCAACCCAAGGATTGTGTATTTATTTGTCTGTGTGTTCTTAGGGCGTGGAAAATGCAATGTGTGTCTTGAGGAACCTCTCCTACCAGCTGTACGGCGAGATGTCTCCAACTACTCTGATGCGCCTAGAAGGACCAAATAGAGCTCAGGGCTCAGGAAAGGGCGACGCCATTGGTTGCTATACACCTCAGGGACGGAAAGCCAAAAATGTACGCACACGTGAGATTTACCCATCAGCATTTTGTGTGCATGTTAGGGCTGCTCCTTTGTAGTCAACTAATAGGTTGTACTTTTTTCATGGTGAACTCATTATTTCCAATCCTTACTTATGAGCACATTTTTAGTCAACACAACATTTAAAGTGGTGCTATGGCATGGTTCTTTGTGGAGAATACCAATTTTACTAATTGGTCAATTCAAATGTTCCCCACAGAGAAAGAACCAGGACATCTCCACTTTCACCGAGGTGGCCCGGGTGCCAAAAGGCGCCGAGTGGCTCTGGCATCCACAGATTGTGGGCGTTTATAACCGTGTGTTGCAAGACTGCGAGGTCAACTCTACCACCCGCGAGGCGGCTGCTGGAGCTCTTCAGAACATCACCGCTGGAGACAACAGGGTGAGAAGCATATTCATCTTGCCATATTCAAATGCAACAATCTACATCATCTTTAAACTGTCTCTTCCTCTTTGTCCCGCAGTGGGCGTCAGTGCTGAGCCTGGTGGCTCTGGAGCAGGAGCGCATCCTGCCACAGGTGCAGAACCGCATGCAGACCAGCAATGACCTGGAGCTGCGATCCCTCACAGGCTTCTTACGAAATCTGTCCCGCCATGCCAGGGATAAGAATGACATGGGTCAGTTTTTTTTCTTAAGTTATTTAAAAAAAGTTGAAAAAAATAATAATTTACCATTTTTAACCAAACTCTTGAACATTAAAAGAAAAGTGTGAGTCCTTAACAGGAAGTTGATTGTAAATATAGGTTTCCAACAAATAATCTAACATTACTTATTGGTTTATCCAGCCTCAAAGGTGGTGAACAACTTGGTGGCCAAGCTGCCTGACGATGGGAGCCAGAAGGACCCCTCTAGCGATGTGGTGGTGAACATCTGTGGAGTTCTCAATAATTTGGTGACCAGCAGCTCTATAGCTGCCAGAGACATCACATACTTTGATGGCCTGCCAAAACTGATCAGCATCAAGACCATGACGGGCACCTGCAGGTAAGACTTTGTAATGTGGCATAAACATGCTGTATTGAATAAATGTGTTCTCACCCTGACATTTCTCCATCCGCATGACATTTGCATGTTGAATGTTGCGTGAAATATTTCAGCCTTTCTTCTCACATAAAGTTATTTGTACCAAGTGTTAACCTTGGATATATCTTTTTGTTCCTAGCACGGGGAGGATGAAAGCAGCCAAAGCAGCATCAACAGTTCTCAGCAACATGTTCCAGTACAAGAAACTGCACAAAAGCTACAAAGAGGTAAGATAGTAAACTCGAGCTCTGCATGATTAATGATTTCCCCTCCAAAAAACTGAGAGGGATAATCAATAACATATTAGAGATAATGCATCAGTTATGTTTTTTTTTCTAAACGTCTATTAAGAGTTTAGGCAGAGTTTTTAAGTGTTATTCAAATCCATTCAGATGCCACAAAAACAATCAAATTACACAACAAGATTTTAAACATTAATACATGAAGTAACAAGAGGTCAGATTATGTGTGTCGACTCCCAAACAATAGTCACTGAACCACACCCTCATTCTCATTTCTGCCTGTGTGTGTGTGTCTCTCTGACTGTTCACACTGCTTCTCTTTCAACACCGACACAAACACACAGCCACTCAGGCGTGTCCAGGTCTTGGGCAGGACCAGGTGTCCTACATGTTCTGACTTTTGCAGATTCCGACTTGCCCCTCCCAAAGGGTGCGGTGTGCAGATTTATTTCCTAACAAACAGGTCCCAACAGAACCAAAAATGCATTAAAGCTTGTCTTGTACGTGGGAAAAACCTCAGACTATTTGACTATCGTGCTATAACGTGAGTTCTGAGGTAACTTACGCTAAGATACGGTACGATGTACTTTATTGATCCTAAATTGGGAAATTCTTTAGTCACGGCAGCCTTGGCAACAAGGCATTGCTCATAATTTGTAAAAATCTATAAATAGTAGTAAATAAACAAACGTAAAATATAAACAACTAAAAATAGAAATTAAACAGAACTAAAAATTAAAATACAAGTTGACCATGGAAAATACAAATCCGTAGACTGTCAAATAAACACTATGAAGGGCCAAATTACAGCTAACACATGTTAAGGTAGGGTTTTAACTTCAGGTCAATTCTAAAAATCAAGGGAGCTGTTACAGAGGTGTACTGTGTGGTATTTGAATACGTTCTATAATGTAAATAAACACAATATTTGTTTATGTATTCGTTATAACATTGTCTTGTTTGTTTCTCTGTGTTACAGAAAGGGTATGGGAAACAAGATTTTGTAGATATGATGATCTAAAACAAAAGGCAGTGGTGAAGAGGCCTGCTCTCCACCAGCCCCCAGTGGAGCAAAGAGACTGTTTGTACTATTCAAAGATACTTTTTTAGGATGAGAACATGGACACACAAGTGAGGGAGGATCTACACAGAGGAAAACAACTTCCTGTGTATTTTTTTTACTCGACAGACCGTTCAAGAATTTTGGATCCGGCACGACTACTGATGGACACAAATGTGTGCACCTTAACCATTTACTCTTTTTGTTTAAACACTGTATGTTTTAGTGTGGAATCAGGGATTTGTTTTTTATCAGAGTAACATTTATTTAGATATAATTTCAGCTGTTTTTTTTTGCGGATGACAACTGTTGATGCACAGAACAGCACAGAATGAATGGATTGAAGTGTGGTACAAACATGCTGTTCTTGTATATATTACTTCTTCTTTTAAAAATAAATCAAATGTTTTTGTACTTTGCACCCACACTATGTACTTAGTTCTTGTAGTTTAAGGATGGATAAATGTGTTTATAAATGAGTCAATATTATAACATGGTTATAATTGAATTTATAGCAAATTGGATGTTAATACTTATGATTAAGAAATCTAGGAATAATGAATGTATCTCCAAAGTTGACTTTTGTGTTTAGTTCTGTGCTTTGCAAAATCGCCGTCGTGTCATACATTTGTAGTTGTTTTGTCAAACACAACTCGTAGTCTCATCATGTCTGTTTGCTTCTTCAGTAGCCTATTAAACCTGCTGTTTGTGTACTTTATTAAGTGTGAGTGTACAAAGAATACAGTGCTCACTTTATTTCAAAACATATATCATATGGTGATAATGATGTTTTGTTTTTGAGGTGTTATAGCAAAATCTAACACGGACCCCAGACCTCATTGAAACTCATAAATTGGCAAGTAGGATATTCTAATTAAATGTGTTATTGTTCATACAAATTTTTTATTTCAAAACTTACATTTTTAATAATATTTATTGCTCTGGCATAAATGGTTTCCCTTTTATTTTGTAGGACTTCTAACTGCTTTAAGATTTGCTTTTGTTGTGTACAGGCAGATGTATCATCATATTTTTCATCTAATAAAGAGACCGATTTGAAATGTCATTTATTAAGTGTGTCTTATTTGTGCGTGTGCTGCACACTCTCGCTCTGACTGTAATAAAGGGACACTATCACGATGAAATGCCTGCCACTCCCGGTTTACATATTTGCTCCTGCTCAGACAAGAACAACACCAGACCTGCCCTGCTGCACCCTTATTCAGGCTCTCATTTCACTGCAGGTACTGCTACCATCACCCCATGAAGACAGAGAGCATGATCCCAAAAGAGAGAAATAGCCAGGTATTTTTGTCAAACTGCTTTATTAGCATTATTGCTGCGTTGTTAGTGTTTTTACATTAAACACACAAAGCTCCCATATGTACAGAAATGTTACGAGTTCATCGGTCATGAGCCTTGCCCTGCCTCACGTGCACAAACAGATGTCCGGAGATATAATTTAAGACTCTGTTACATTTATTGTTTCTCTTTCCCAATCCGTCAGTTGTCATATTTTGAAATACTGCTTGAAAAGCTAAATCCCTTCAATCTATCTAACAGCACTCTGCCCTCTGCTGGGGACTTCATGAGAGATCAAAGCAGTGAAATGACAGTTCTTTCCCTGATTCACATAAATACAGCAGATAATAACTTGTACAATTTCTCATTAGAGATTTTACATCAGTAAACAAAAATATAAAAAATGTAAAAATCAATCTTTGGTAAATAGAAAAAACAAGGTAAAAGAAGTTAACCATTTGATTTAACACAAAACTGTAAAAGACACACATATTTCCCATATTGACTTTGGTAACAAAGAAGCAATGCATCGGTAGAGTCGTTTTTAAGAGATCAGTGGGGGGGTTTGGATCAGATGTCATCTTCAGTGACCAGGCAGTAGAAGTCTGAGCGCGCTCCATAGTTGCGTGATCCCAGGTCCGACACGTCGATGTCAGTGGGTCTGGGCTCGGCAGACGGGATGTGAGCGACGGGCAGGACGGGAGCTTTAGAGGCCAGAGCCTTGTATAGGGGGGGGCGAAGGCCTGCAGCAGGAAGACAAGAGACATGCTAATGCAAAGTACATGTTTGCGGAAATGCTGTAATGTTAGGGCTGTTTCATTTTTTTTTGTTTTAAGACATCAAACGCGTAGTTTAACATCTGGTGACATTTTTGCTTTTTTGCCAAGAGGAAGATAACATTATTGATATCAGTTTCACATTGGTTGATTCATTGTGAATCAACAACTGCTGTTCATTTAGCTTAGCATACATAGTAGAAACACTGGGAAATAGCTAGCCTNGACTCCTTCGCTTCTTTGCTTGTGAATCCAAAAGCTGTGACGCTTGGCTGGATATTTTTTTAACTCTGGCTTTGTAATAAAAAATATGGCAAAACGAAAACAGCCAAGCGTCACAGCTTTTGGATTCACAAGCAAAGAAGCGAAGGAGTCTAAAAATGACAACGTGAACGGAAAACAACTTTTAGTTGCGGAGCCTGAAGAGGCTTCAACAACGGTCACATCCGCCGGCATAGTGACACCGTCTGTATTAGTAGAAGAGTGTTTTTATAGCAATTGATTGCATCCGCGCTGCTGCGCCAGTCAACAGAGCGTGCGTGTGACATATTTAGTAGCAGGATGTGCTCTGAAAAATAGGGCTCCCCGAAAGCAAATGGGTAATTCGAACACTGACAGAGCTCCCTCTATACAAATCAAACTGTAGACGGTGTGAAAGCACCTATTGTTTTAAATAATGATCGGAATGGGACCTGTGAGCCTTCTGAATTACCGTGGGACAGCACATTCTAAACTAAAATGTTCAATCAATAAAGTAACATCTTATCTTATCTTAATAATATCTTCATATTAATAATAATAATAAATCATACAGTATGTGTCCGAAAGGGAGCAGGAGGAAGCAAACACAAAAATATACAAAAGATATACTGCATATTAAAGCAAACGATTGTAAAGGTCAAAGTATGAGCATAACAAATAAAGAAGTGTAATGTAAACATTTACATTATAATATAATTATTTAATATATAAAGACTATATATTATTGAATTACAAGATTAGATATACTTTAGTTGATCTAAAATATTGATGTGTTCAAATGCTCTTCAAAACACAACTGAAAGTCCATGAAACTTGTCTTTCTGTATTTCTGAATGAAGCGCCATCTCCTGGTTAAAACCTGAAATTGAAATTCTGGCAACGCCCTCTTGGAAAATAGTGGGAGGGCTTAACATTCGTCAATACTGGTCTTAGGCAGGTCGTAGGCTGTAACCTGGAGTCTGAAATGAGGTGCTACATCTGTATAGACGTGGCATCATACCAGGTATAAAAAAGGTACTCTAGAGAGTACCCAAGATGTTCCACCTGTAGAATAAGAAAATCTGCTGAGTCAAAAGCTGGTCGGTTCATTCTGTTATGATCACTGTTACGAATCGCGGAAAAGGTAGGACCCAAATGCAGACTACAAAAAGGGTAAAGGCCTATAAACAAAAGCGAGCTTTATTACAAAAGCCAATGACAAAAAACATGACATGAAACTAAACGAAAGCACAAGAAAAAAACATTACCGAAAGACTGACCGTGAAAGTTCGACCGAGGAAGACAGGAAAAACAAACAATGAACCGACAGGGGAACACAGGAAGAGACAAGACTAAATACAGGGAGGGGTAATAACGAGACGANTGAATTAAAGATAATCCCCACCATTGGTCACTTTCATTCAAAAGGGCTTGGTGGATACTCACCGCCATATAACGCCGGCCAACACCGATCAGGAACGTCACTTGTGTCCTCGTTGGTCCTTCACCAGGTCAGCTTGGCACGTACTGCAGAAGAGAAAGGCGACCAGAGAGAAGGAGGCGAAGGGGTTCACTTTACTGGCAGAGGTTGAGTTCTTCTGTCTTCCTCCCATCAGGCTGAACGCATTGTCACTTGTTCACTGACATTTACTGCTACTCCTCCAGCCATGGTTGTGTACTTATTTTATTACTAATGTGTTGTTTCCCATATTTATTATTTCATGTCTCTTTTGAGTATTTATCATCAAATTTGTTGTAATGTCTGTTAACAATCAGGCATGTGTACTTGTTCTGTTAGTGTTTGAATCCATTTAACTTAATGCAAAAAAATCATGTCTATGTCTACTACATACTTTAGTTTCAGTCTGTTACATACCATTGCAGTAAGCTTCCACTCTCTAAAAATCAAAGTCAATCGTTTGACATTTTACTCTATACGAAACTGTAGCAACTTTATTAATTCAGATTTTCAATCAAACCAAACGGATAATGAAATCATTGTTAATTTTCGTCTAAATTCCCGGCACTGACCCCCAATTGACTATTGCTACGCACACAGGGTCTAAGTCAATCGTGCACGTTCAGTTGATGCAAATGCATTCACAGTGCAATGACAATATATAATCATTGTGCACACTTCCACACAAAAATCAAATTAACTCTGAAACGTATGTTCTTATTTGTCTCCTACTCTGTGTTTATCTTCCATTTCCAGGCCGATGGTATTTTTATATGACAATAAGCTTGTGATCGTAAACTGCTTTCTAAAAATGTTAAACAACTCAGGATAGTTACAGAATCAATATAATATAAGGCAGCCAAGCGCTTCTCAGGAACGTACACTGTCCACAGGCGGAGGATTTTAGCCCAGATGAAGACCAGCAGAGGCCAGCAGGCGCTCTGGCCGAGCTCCTGGAGCAGCTCAGCAACGTAGTGGAAGATCCCACCGAGGGGCCTACACCACCAACACACACACACACACACACACACACACACAACACACCACACACACACCCACACATCACACACCAACACACACACACACACACACACCACACACACGTCACACACACACACAACACACACACACACACAACCACACCACACACACACTACACACACCAAACACCCCCCCCAAAGTTTTTTTTTAAGATGGAGGCTTTGCTACTGAATGGTGTCTGTGGTCTGAAAGTAAAAATGATCTGACAATTGCTATTCTTAGTTTCGGAAGTTCCCATGTCTGTCCTTTTCTCCCCAGCTTTGTCAATAAGCTGAAGATTGCTTTTGGAGCCGTTCCGTATAACTGATTGAACAGCACAAAGGTTGTTGCTTTTTTTTAACAACAGAGAGCCAAAGTCCCTCCCTTTCCGGTGGAATCCATGGGTACTTATTTTTGGAAAAGTATGTATTGAAGTCCATGGCGAGAGAAAATTTATCTTTTCATCCCGTTTTGAATTGTGCCATGAATTACACATATGGTTTGTTAATCTTAAAAAATTATTTCCATGTAAAAAAAAAGCACAGTTTGTAGTAAACTGTGGAAGTAACACTTATTTGTGTGTGAAACCACTCCATGAACTCATCTCTGGTCTTGCACAATACGCGTCACCAACACCAGAATGAGGTGAACAGGATTAACCATGAGGTAGAATCATTTACAGTCTGGCATGTTGAGAGCTGCTACATATCACAAAAGGGGAGTTAAGCCCGGTTCCGTAAGAGCCAGCCATGGCGGGACTGGCTGTAAAGTGTTTATGTGAGCTGTTAAACGATGTAATGGTCAACATTAATGTCAGCTAGCTACATTAGCTAACAAGGTACACTCCTGTGTTTGTTTTAGCAACTAGTTTTCTGTGTAACCTTGTCCTTGCCAACACTAATGTTATCCCCAAAGCAACACAGCGATCACGCAGTTCTTTAACGTAGAAAACTAGTTGCTAAAACAAAACACGAAGCTACCTTTGTTAGCCTAAAGGTTAGCTAGGCTGACATTAACAGTTACACATTACACTCGTTTTATACAATCACCTCTGGCTCTTACGGAACCGACACACCTCCACCTTTTGTATATATAATATCAGCTCTCAACATGCCTCAGACTGTAGTGCATTTTCTCTCGTTTAATACTTTCCGCCTCATCTGGAAAGGAAGAGGACGAAATGAATGCCTAACGTGAACGGCCCATGCCATGGTGTTGGGTGACGTTAATTGTACGAACCACGAGATGTAGTTCATTGAGCGGTTTCAC